GAGGAATAACGGGGCTGCCGACAAAGGGCTTTGATGTCGACAGGGGAGCGTCCAGACTAGCGCGCTGAGCGGACAAACAGCTGATCAGCTGTTTGTCGGCTCAGCGCGGCAGCCATGTAAATTTAAATGAAGCCGCGATCATTTGCCTTTTCCTATGTGTCTAATCTACATGCCTCTGACGACATGAGTCTATGAGTCTATGAGTAATCACCTATTCCACTAACATTCTGAATTCTGCTTCTATCCTCAGTACTTTAAGGCAAACAGTAGGTACTATGCTGCTGCAGAACTTTCCCTCTCTCATACATAAGCCATCAGAGGAGGACTCTATCACAGGAGTTTGTGTCTAACCACACTCTATGGCTACAAATGCTTTTAACTGAAAAGCGTCTGTGCCAATCTAGACACGGTTTTGCGCAAGAAAGCCCCAATCGCCATTTTCACCATCGGGGCTTTTTTGCGCAAAACAGTTTTTACCTGTCTACAGCGACTGCTTTTGCGGAAAAACTTGCCAGTCTAGACGCAACCTATAGGGGACCCTTATAAAGAAATTGGTGAGAGTGAAAAATCAAGAATATCATTGCAGTTTTAAACAAGGTTGCAATATTTTCAAGCTGGTTGAAACTAACACCGTCTAGAACTTTTGCATGAAACTGAGCACATTAATTTTCTAGAGTGATTTCCAGACTAGAGAGATTTGGATGAGTATCTAAACAGAACTTTTATACCTTCTGAGGTCATAAGTTTAAATCCCTTGGGTTGGCATGTCTAAATGCTGGCCTATTTGAGGTCACTGCAAATGGGTTGCATACCCTGATGTCCAATCTTCAAGGACATGAAAGAATTCTGGAAACCCACAGACTTAAGGGTCTAAAATAACCCAGGCATACCAGACTCTTCCTTGCCTAGCGCTAGCACTGACACTGAACACCTTGCTCTGTGTCCAACTCCCTACCGTGGAGTCTGGGCCATCCAGAACACTTTGAATCAGTCTCTTCAGCTCATTGAGACTGGCACGTAGACTGCCAGCAGGGACATCTTTGGCTGATGAGGTTTCTGAAGACTCATCCATGGAGGAGTCTGTGGAGACTGCAGAGTCCGTGCTGTCATGTCCTCTGAGATGAGCGCAGAGATATCTGACTTGGCAATAGGCCTCCCAGAGCTGCAGTCTCAGCTGGAACAAGACAGCATTATATTAGTCCATGGACTTCAGGGACCCATGAGATTCTATTGCTTGTAGACTTCCAGGATGTGGCCATGTTGTTAGCTAGAAAAGTTCTTTGATGCACCCTAGTCTAGCTATAACATTAATGAAAACAACAATTACTTATCTAGCGCTTTTCATCTAGAGGTCTCAAAATATCATTCTCTGCAATGCACAGAACGGGAAACTGACACAGAGAGATTACTTTATTTGCTTAGTGATACATGGTGAGTCAGCATAAGAGATTGAGATAGAACCCAGATGTCTTGATATACCGCCCAGCACCGTGTCCACTGGATCACATTGTCTCATTGAACAGCCAGGACTTATTTGGCCATTGCTCTTTTTATATGTGTGTGTGTGTGTGCACATGGATTTTAAATGTATTTTACAATATGTGTTAGCAGTGCAGTCCTTTCTCTCTCTAACTGGTGTGCTCCTATGTAAGTTCACATAAGCATGTGCACATGTATTAATGCAGTGCTATATCAGATGAAAAAGAAATATTGGATGACTGGTGTGGTTTGGAATAGGCAGCGACTATGGGTTTCTTAACTGAAATCAGTAGCAGCTTTGTGTGGTGCAATTCCTTGCCGTTTGCACTAGTCTGCCATGCTTTCTAGCTACTACCTGTGAATGTTTACACGTGTGCATTCATGTGGTACACATGTACAAAGGTTCATACACTTTCCCAGGGGGTAGGGATGGTCATACCTGTTCTCTCTCTTGTTCCAGTTCTTCTGCCTCCATGCTCTGCTCAATCTCAGATAGCAGGGATGTGTTAAAAATTTGTAGACTTCTCTCTTCGCTAAGCTCCTCTACCTTTCCCTGGAGTTGCCGATTGGACAGCTGCACCTCCTGGAGCTCCAGATGACTTTGTTGCAGCTTCCAAAGGAAATCCAAGGAAAAAAACAAAACTAGTGACTACGATTGAGGCCAAGATGAATCTCTCAGCTCATGAAGAACCTTGGTGGGAGCCCTGAAAAGAGGGTTTCCACATGTGGGAAGAACAGTCTTTGCTGGCTTGTCTATGACATTGTTACCAAAACTTGAAAAGAACCACACATGAGCTGGGATCTAAAATATGTTGAAGGCTCACAATCACTAGGTTAGTTATACCTAAAATGTGTTATAAAGAATTCCAGAAGGAGCTAAGGAAAAACCAGTTAATTAGACAACACAGAAACAACTGAATTAAAAAAAAATCACACAACCATTTGTGGTTCAAAGGGATATAGTTTTAAACCCTGATCATTGAAACCCCAACATAATTCACAGAGAAGCACTTTAATAATTTTTAACTCTGATTATGTGAATATTTCAGATAGTTTCACCCCTGTGAGGGATAACTTAAATTTCTGACAGGTACTGTCCTATTGCACCCCTTGCCCTCAGCCCCGCCTCCCAGGTGAGTGCAACACAACAGTATCTGTAGGAAATTTAAGTGTGGGGGGGGTCAGGACAGGAGCTTGAGGGGTGAGGAGAGGTTCAAGGCAGAGGGCTGGGGACTGGTGGATGTTCAGGAGTCAGGGCAGGGGGCTCAGAGCAGGGTGTTGGGTATGTGTAGGGATGAGTGCGGAGTGGCAGGTGAGATTTCAGGAGCCCGGGGGGGAGGTGTTGCAGCTGCACATACCAGGTTACTGTTGATCTTCTTCCCCTTCCCCTATCAGGGAGCAAGGGGAAAGTGCAAAGCCTGCTACATTCCTCTCCCTCCCCTTTACCCAGGGGAGGGACAGAGGAGGAATGCACACAG